TGGTTTGGAGAGCATCCATGTCCAAAACCTAATGACGTCCATGGTCTAGCGCATTTTGGTTTTGGAGAGCATCCATGTCCAAAACCGAATGACGTCCATGGTCTAGCGCATTTTGGTTTGGAGAGCATCCATGTCCAAAACCTAATGACGTCCATGGTCTAGCGCATTTTGGTTTGGAGAGCATCCATGTCCAAAACCTAATGACGTCCATGGTCTAGCGCATTTTGGTTTGGAGAGCATCCATGTCCAAAACCTAATGACGTCCATGGTCTAGCGCATTTTGGTTTGGAGAGCATCCATGTCCAAAACCTAATGACGTCCATGGTCTAGCGCATTTTGGTGTGGAGAGCATCCATGTCCAAAACCTAATGACGTCCATGGTCCAGCGCATTTTGGTTTGGAGAGCATCCATGTCCAAAACCTATAATGACGTCCATGGTCTAGCGCATTTTGGTTTGGAGAGCATCCATGTCCAAAACCTAGTGACGTCCATGGTCCAGCGCATTTTGGTTTGGAGAGCATCCATGTCCAAAACCTATAATGACGTCCATGGTCTAGCGCATTTTGGTTTGGAGAGCATCCATGTCCAAAACCTAATGACGTCCATGGTCTAGCGCATTTTGGTTTGGAGAGCATCCATGTCCAAAACCTTTCGAAATGTTGCTTCTTTGCATCGCACCGAGCGGGGATGGTAGTTTCCACTACTCTTCAACAGCTTACTCTGTGGTTCAGTAGTTCAAAAACGAGTATATGCGCAAGAACCGCACATCAGCAGCATCCAGCATTATCATGTTCATCATCACATTCTGCTCCAAGTAAGCGGGTGCAAACTTGGCCAAATGAGCATTCTCCGGCTTCTCGGTCGTCGGTCCATCGTAGAAAGGACACTTCGAACTGTTTTTTCTATGTCCCACTTGCTGACATTTACTGCAGCGGTGTGGACGATCCTTGTCCTTGCTACGCCACATCTTGGACCGCGACAGCTTTGATGGAATATGTTGTACATCCACGAACTCAGCGACCGGCGTCGCACCAGGGGTGATGAGGTAGTAGTAGTAGTAGTAGTAGTAGTAGTAGTAGTAGTAGTAGTAGTAGTAGAAGTAGTAGTAGAAGTAGAAGTAGAAGTAGAAGTAGAAGTAGAAGTAGAAGTAGAAGTAGAAGTAGAAGTAGAAGTAGAAGTAGAAGTAGAAGTAGAAGTAGCAGTAGCAGCCTGTGCACATCATTGCAGACACCCGATCATCATCTCCCTTTGCTGCAGTGGGGTTGATGTCTGCAGAGTTTGCAGTGCTGCGAGTGCCAGCGGGCTTGGCCCATTGGCATTGCAAATCTGTCGGAAGTGGATGTGAAGCACCGTCCTGCAGCAGTCGCGACAGGGGATTCGAAGTCGCCGGCCATGTCAGTGGGACCTTGCGCAGATGTTCCGTGACGGGCTGAGGTCACATGATGTTGCTAAGCTGCATCATGGTTTCACATCGCGATATGTGCCACTGATTAGTCACTGTTCTCTCTGTGTATATGTCTGATTGTTCTGTCATTGCAATCGCGACTCCTGCATGCACTGCATGCTCTTGTCAGGTCTCCAACATTCGACGAGATTTCAGAAAGCGACGTGGCAGAGGCAAGAGTCGAGACACTGACTAGCTAAGATTGCCAACGCTGCGAGCATTGGCAGCTGCAGTGAATCTGACATTCCATCGAAGGTGCCCCACCTGACTGACCCGCTGGCATCAGCAAAATTTGCGATGCACGCAGAGGCTTATCACATACTTTTGAGCTACGTTGGCGTTGACACATTGATCTTCCTAACCTTTGTTGCTAGGTTGCGGCGTTTCAGCGCCAGTCGGAGAGGACCGAGCTGCTCCGACGCCAGGCTGATTGATGAATCAGGAGAGCTTTGGCGGGGAATGGCAGGTACCACAAGAGCTCATGCTGTTACTACCTGATTGCAGAAATGCAGGTGGCTGCGCTCGACAGAAAGTTCGAAACTGCAAGCACTGATTTCCAACGGCTGGCAGAGGCGATGCAGCATGCCTGTGACGTGCGGTGCTTTCACGGCTTGGCGGCGGCAGTGCTTCGCAATACATGTCGTGTAGAATAGGAGGCCGCTGCACTGGCCGCCTACAAGCTGGAAGCCTCGTTTCGCAGAGTGCTTAGCTCTCATGCTCGCCCATCGAGGTTGTTACATGTCTAGGCATCAAACCCCAGTGCTTTTCCGACAGGAACCAAAACACTGACATGACAATCATGACATCCTCAGTGTGTTGTGTGTTTGAGTAGGCAGCACTGTGTAGGCGTGCGTACGTATATGAGCGTGTTTATTTTATGTAGATATATGTATATCTATATGTGCTTGCTGTGTATGTACTCACATGGGACATGCCACACGCAGACATGAACAAGTTCAATGATAACCAGATACGCATGGATATGTAAGCGTCAACAGTCAAACAGACGAAGACATCAGCATGCGTCACCACATATACACACACAAAGTCGCATAAACTTCACGTTGGTTGGTGTACATGCATAAGTACTTGTGAACCAGTGTGTGTGTATACCTCTGTACACAACACACGCATGTGAGCGTAAGTATGTATGTACATGTACAAATGCGCAAACGCACATATACGTAAACGTATATGTGTCGTGCAACATAAAAGAATAGGCCATAGCGTAACATAGGCTAAGACAAAATCGTAAAACGGAACCTAGTATAGTATAGCAGAGTATAGTATAGTATAGTGTAATGTACTGCCATGTAACGCAATATGTTTATGATCTTCTTATGCAGCTCTACGTATGTATATGTATACCGATATGTGCAAGGTACAGAGCAGCTGGACTGGAAGAAAGAGCTGCAAGCATCTCTGGACACAGCAACTCGGCGAAGCTCCGAGAGTCCCTGCCACTTTCCTGTTGTGAGAGGCAGAGCTCGCCGCACGCATTCCAAGGTACTGGAGCAAAGAGAACACATGGCATCCATGGCACGTCACCTCCCAAACAAAGAGCACACGCTTCGGCTGTTGCCATGTGGGGCGAACATGCTTCAAATTGAGGTGAAGCTGTAGAAGCTCGCTTTCAACAAGAGTTAGCGAAGCAGTTCAAGGCGTGTTGAGGAGGTTGCACGTGTTCTGTCAGCAGCTTGCATGTAGGCATCGGATGAAAACCTCAGCTCCCTCCGGAAAAACATGGATGCAGAATTTGAGAATTTCGCAGAGAAGGCAGGTACATGCAGATATATGCAGGTACTCTCTAATTGGCCTATGTTAAATTGAGACACTTCTGCTCCTCGCGAGGTTCATTGTATCAACTCCAGGATCGACTCAGTGCATGAACATGTAGAGAAGGCCAACTTGTGTGCTTGTGTGTGTGTGTGTGTGTCTGTGTGATTGTGTGTGCCTGCATGTGTGCGTGCGTGCGGGAATTGATTTCAGACCCAGTTTTTGACCTATACACATTTGGGCTCCACATCGTAGTGCTGCGACTGCCATGTACCGATGGGACCAAGCATCCAAGAGCCAGCCGACAGACCCTTAAACTTGCAGCCCCGCAGAATGGCAATCCAATGTCTTTTGCAACGAAGCAGATATCCCATCGCCCATTCGTCTACCTTTGCATTGAATACTGCAACATATGCAGGCATCCATACATGGCCTCTTATGGTGACAACACGAGATGCAGACGTTCTGAAGATTGAAGAAGTGTTGCGTGTGGTCGCAGGTGGACCATCTGTCCTGCGAGAGAGCCAAGGCACCACGATTTCAGGATGCACCAGATCACGCAGCCATGCCACGTGTAAAGTTTGTCAGGAAGCAGCGCACACTGTGCGATCCGCTTTGGCATGCTTCCCAAGCATTGTAGTTCTAACTCTGAAAGAAGGTGCGTCCAAATTGTGTTCCAAGGTCGACTTTCGCATGGTCGATCTTCGCAAGCAGGCTTTGCTTCATCAGTGTAGACTGCTCATCTGTAGCACTCAATGCGCGTACACGGCGCAGACAGCAACTCAAACCTAAGGGATTGAGTGAGCGAGTGTCGACCTGGGGTACTCTCCGGTTCTATGACATGGGGGACGAGGGACGGCAAAAGCAATTTCGGCAAGTGCCCTTGCTGCCTAGGCCTAAACTCTATCAGTCTTTGCAGTATCTGCTTGGCATCCGTGGGGCGTTGGGCAATGCTTGTCTTGCTCATGGCATCCTCGACCTGAGTGCTCGTGCAGGCAGACACCTCCAAGGAGTTGAGGTTCCTCCTATCCCGCGTTGCCAAGGGAATGCGAAAGCTTGGCCAGGTGCGTCTGCAGATTTGAAGAGATGCTTCTTGCTGCCGGTCTACTTCATTGAAAGCTTATTTCAGCCGGCAGTTCGCACAGCGATGCATTTTTGCAGCAGATGGAATTTTTGCAATACACTTCAGGAAACCAAGTCTAGCAACGAAATTATGCAATCAGCCACGTAGCTGTTTTGAGCTTCATTGCTATCGAGTTGGGAAGGCCGATGCAAGGCTGCAGTAATCGTGAGGCCACAGTGCATCACGAAAGCAACGCGAGAACGAACTGTGTTGTCTCTCATGCAACACCTCTTCGATGATAGCGATGTAGCTCCAGAGAGTTTGCGATGGCACTCCATGGAGCGCCCAGAGCTCATCCAGCGGAGCTGAGTGCCTTGTATCAATAGCAGCGGAAGGTGATGCTACTGATCGGCACTACCACCAGCCCAGTTGTCTGCAACCTGCACTACATGAGACTGTTGTTGCAGCGACATGCTGTGATTGACTCCCGCCAGCTTTCCCATAACTCTGAAAGCATCCGAGGTGCCCTGCTGGCCATTGATCCAGGGACGAACCCTGCAGACTACTGGAGTGCTCGTCGGGGCTGGGATGTCGAGGCCAACCCGCTCCATCCCCAAATGCAACCCGGGATCAAGGTTATGCTGCCATACTTGTAGGGTACGTGAGAGGGGATGCATTTGCCGGGACTGCTATGAGCACAGATTATGCCGGAAAACGTGTGCCGTCGGTGCCGGTGTCTGCAGATTCTGCAGCTGCTAGAGACTTGATGCCACAGCCGCTTTTTGAAACATCTGCACATTCAATATTCCCCTTGAAGATGTCGGCCTCCGTCAAGTGCATGGACACCACGCCTTCCCGGACTTGACTTCAGGCCATCAAGGCAGACATTCGCATCGCCTGCCAGCCTCGTGGAGCTCTGCCGGGCCAGAGAGACGGTACCTTCTCGACATTGGCATCTGCTGTGCGTATCTTGGCTTCTCATGGAACTGCGGTATGATCTCACAGCATGTTGCCGAAACTCGCAGCTAGCAGATGCATCCCATGCGTTCGCCTTTTGAACTGTGAGTAGATGTGCCTCTGAATCTCGCTTTTGCGTACTACCTAAGACCGGTACCAATCTCATTCTTTCCCTAAAGTTTCGTGATGCTGCATAGATCATCCTTTCTCACATCTAAGGCGCACGCAGCGCTGGTGAAGGCGTGCAGCAAAGATCCTCCCAGGAAGGCGTCACGATTGACAGTGCAAGGAGAGGGAAAGGGTGTTTAGCCAGTCGTCCGCAACCATGGTTTTTGTTTCTTATGTGCTTAAATGCCCAGCCAATGACGGCCTCTGTATCGATATTTCTCGAAAGAGTCACCGTGCAGCTTGATGTTTCAGCAGCGCTTTTGATGCCATGAACTAGTGTAATATTTGTTGGCACGTACAGCATAGATGCCGTGTACAATAACTAGTGACTAGTGCGCCTGCAAAATGCCAGCTTATTGACGAAATTCAATATTATTGTTTGCAGCATCACAGTGCAACATCGATTCAAGTGTTCATCATGTTCCATCGTCATTCAGCCATCTAAGTCGAGGCTGCCAGCCGCTCAACCGTCAACCAATGCTTTGAAAAGGATTGGAACGAACACACAGACAGACAAACAGACAGGCAAACAAACAGACAGATAGATAGTTAGATAGTTGGATCTTGATATGGATACTGATATTGATGTCAGAACTGGGGGCTGCAGGGCTGGACTGGGATTGGTTTGTTCCGAAGCGCAGGTCAAACAAAGACCGGATTGCACCCGCAGATGGAGCGCCGCGAGCTGCATGGCCCGCAAACGGGCAGAAAACCTGCTCTTGGCTCCAAGGCAAGATTCTCAATTTGACTGTGACGCTGGCTGCTGGCATTGATTGAAACTGTCTGAAGGTGTTGCCTGACAAATTGCCTGACATAGACAACGAGGGTAGGCCGTACAACTTAAAGCTGGTTGTGGTCAACTTCAACAATGTCTCGACCTCATCTTCTTGCGAAAACAGAGCTTGTGCAAGCAGGCGATTTTGAGAGTCATGACTGTCTTCAAGGTCGGCACCAGTTTCGGGATGATCTTCAACGGAGATAAAGAGCCAAAGTACAACTGGGAAGGTGTTCGTCGATGTGCCTCTTGGTTGCGAGGGATGTAATCCCGGTTCCTGTGGATTCCTTGTGACTCTGACGGGTAATGTGGAAGGTCAAGGAGTTGGCCAGAAGAGGCTTCAAGATCATCGGCGTAATTTATCAAAGCTGGAAGGGATGGGATGGCGACGAGATCGTCAATGTAGTGCCTCAGGACAGTATGCAGCACTAAAGCCACCACGTTGACGCCTCTCTCTACCGGCTAACAACGTGGGGGCTGGGCTGGCCAATGGCCTGAGGGTCTCGCAGACGACCCCGAAGCCCTGCATGGGGAAACCCCTTCACCCTAAAGACGAGAGAGAGGGAGAGAGAGACGCAGGCCTTCCACTCGGGGCACCCAACAAACTTTTTTGCACAGTCGAGCCCATCCAAACAAAATGTTGGATGGGGTTGCGCACGTGCGCGCGCCGCAAGGACTGCTTGCGGTCCATACCCCGGAGCAGAGCAAAGCAAAGACGTAGTCATGTGGTTGCATTTGTTGTCGTGTGGTCGTCCAAGTCACCGCTGACATATGCGTGGGGACTCTGCCAATTGAAACCGAGCTGTGACAACAATTTCGCGGGAAGGGCGCGTAAAAGAGGCGGGGGTTGTTTCGGTGTTTAGCGTGCGGGGTCGGGGATGACAACTCGGGAAAACAAAGCTGGAGTACCCCAAAGCCGACCACTAAATAAAAGGATTGGTGGTCGGGCGGGCCGAGTCCTGCGGCGACCCCTACCATCGGCAGAGAGACAGAAGAGAGAGAGAGAGAGATAGATTGAGTCCTTCTTGTGTTGGTTACCTCGTGTTGGTATAATGCAGAAAGAAAGGGCGCTGGGAACTGTTCTTGTCGATGGTGGCGAAACAGTGGTCTGAGGTCAGCAGTATTCTACCTTATTGGTTTGCCTACTTTTTCTATGGGGGACCTTGACCAGAGCCGCCAAAGACTTGCACGTGTCAACGAACAGCCCTTCCATAGCTTAATACAGTATACCGTGCGTACTGGGGGACTAACCGGTTTTCTCACGCCGTCCCAAAGTCCCCATAACAAGTGGGGGGCCTATGAGGCCGGAGGGCCTAACCAGCCCTCCAAGCCCAGCGGAAGAAGAGAGATAGAGGGCGAGAGAGACAAGCAAGAGCGGTGAAAGAAAAAGCGAGAAAGAGGCTGGCCGAACTTCTCCAAGCGGGAGGAGGGACGCGGGGAACGCGGACCTAGCCGCTTTGGCTCAAGGCTGTCGGCCCTAGCGAAGGGGCCTCCCAAACCTTCCGAGCAAAGCAATCCCCCTGAAGGTGGCCCGGTAGTACCGGAGGCTGGGGGTGCGTTCTCCATGCGGAAAACGAGGAGTCTGGTTGCACCAGGACCCAATCCAGTATCTGCTTTCGCGACGCTAAGCTGCAGCACTCCCTCATAACAACGGGAAGAGCCTGCTGAGAGAGAAAGGGAGAGAGGGGCACGAAAGGCACAGCGGAACAATACGGGACTGGACGGAGGAGAGGCCCTGGCTTGTCTTTGCAGCAAGGCGACTGCGAAGATCCAGGGCACGGCGCTAGGAGCCAATCCAGGACCACGTGCCCATGCAAAAAACAAGACCAGGCCTGACTACCTTCTTCCTCGACTTCGCGAGCACCTATACACGAACCACAGCACAAAAAGGAAGAGACATCATGTTCCTCTACCACAGCCAGACGTGCAGGGAAAGGGCAGGGGAAAAGGACGCGATGATACGCGATGTTTCACAAGGAATCAACAGTGCAGCCCAGCAAAGCCGAGAAAACTCCCACCAGCGCAGGTGCGGCCGTACTGCGACCAGACCCAAAGCCGCCGATCACACGCAAGCGCCAATTCCACTTCACCGCGCATGAGACCCTCCTCAAGGACCGGAACACCTACACAACATACAGCAACGGCCATAGCGCAGGAGAAGAAACGACCCCGGAATGGAGCGAAACTCACGATGATGCGCGGACGAACCAAATCAAGTCATGAGAGCAGAGCAGGCTGCACATGAAAGTCTGACGGAAGAAGGCGTGGCAGGTAGGGACGGAATGCCCCCTAGAAAAGGGGCAATTCATGCACCTTCAGAACCGGAACAAGTCCCCTGGGACCACCAGACCAGCTGAACCGCCGGGCAGAGGATGCCAGGAGCCAGCGACAGCCAGCAACGTAGACGAACAAATGAAACCAGGGGGCAACGGCGTGAGGAACGACCTCCGTAAAGAAAGGAACAGACAGTCAAGAGAGGTGTGGCTAGCCCAGAGATGCAACGACAGAAGACTCGGGAAAGTCCCCGAATGATTTTGAGACAATGCAGATGAGTCACCATTTTTCATTGCACCATGTTCCTACTTGCTGTCCGCGCGACGGGCACACACCCCTGCAACGTCGGCAATAGTGCCCGCCAGTGTTGCGTGGGTTTCTTGCCACTGACAGTGATAACGTCCACTGACAGTAAGACCTCATCCGCGATCCCATAGCGTCCATGCCCGAACCGTGATGACGCCCACTAAGAGTAAGACCTCATCCGCGATCCCGAAGCATCCATGCCTGTGGCGTGATCACGCCTCCAGAGCATCCATGTTCGAAACGTAATAACCCTCACTGGGACCTCTTCCTTGATCCCAGCACATCGCCCGAACCGTGCCGCCATGATCCCAGCGCCTTGCCCAAAGCTCATCGCTGTCGCCAAAGCCTATAGGGCACATTGCTTTGTCTTGTCATCAGCTTGGGGAGGCAAACTTGTCCCAAAGCCGCAGCCCGAGAACACGGAACTGCAGTGCCTGTCGTTTAAAGCGCATGTAGTCTCACCTGGCATATAATAGATAGTGCTGCGGCACGCGCAAGAACAACATTTTGCAGCATTGTTAAGTTGGTTCAGCTCGCGGGGATTCGCCGGTCACTTAGGCCTTTAGGACAGGGCTCATGGCTAGAATGAGTATACAGACTCCATCAGCGGGAATGTTGTACAACCGCGAGCAAGCAAGCAAAGAAACAGGCACGCGGGAAAAGTAGTAACACTCGGCAACATCAGAAGGAGCATGCGTTCTCATCAGCTGGCCGCCGTTGAAAGAAAGCGACGGAAACAAAGAAAGACTGAGAGAGTCCGTTGCAGTTGGGAAAGTACAGGCATCAGGTTGAAGGGAGCACGTACTTTCGGAGGCAGGTTCTGGCAGTCCAGCTGTGCGGAGAGTGGATACAGCCGTGAAGTCTTCCTGAACACCGGCCTGCGGTGCTGCCGGAGCCAGTTGTACCTGCACTCAGACACCTACTCGTACGAGCGCACAACCCAGCTTCAGCTAACAGCACACAGGCAACGACCAAGTCCTAGCTTAAGCTGACTCAACCTGGATCGTGAGGCCGGGCAGCGCTTGTATTCCTGGGTTTCCATTACCGGGAGTTAATCTGGGTTTGAAGGCGCGGGAAAATCTAGGCTCCAGGCTCCAGGATAGCAACAAACCCAAGCGCAAAACATCCAAGCTGCAACCAATTGTCTGAGGGGGCCCATGAAGCAGTGGAGAAGCTCAACGGCGCTTGACAGGACATTCGGAGCCATTGCGAGTCTATACAAGAGACTCCCAGAATCGTCGGAGGCAACCAGAGGAGCCTACTATTAGACTGCTTGAATCAAGATTCCGGCAATGGCTGATCACGCTGCTAGCCTCGACGATCCGCAGGAGTGCTGATGACGAAATGACAATCAAGTGTGCATATCACAGAAATTGTCGCCTTCTGGACAACGATAACTATAAGGACCTTCTGATTTTGCAGCGCAGCATGATGCCACAGAGTAGTTGTTTTGGTACATCGGCTGGTTGCATCTCCTTCTCAGGACTGGCTGCATACACTGCGGAAAGCGGAAATCCGAAACTGGTATTCATTTAGCCAAGACCGCATCCACATGAAGTACTTCTTTGATTCAGAAGTTGCTTGGCTTGGTGGAAAGGCTTTGCAGTCTAGAAGCTCGTGATGACTCGCCGCAATTTAAGGTTGGTTTCTTCGAGACCTTGGATGGCAACGCTGCACGCGGGGCCAGTGAAGAGCCCGAGGAGCGCCGACCTCGCCAGGCCGCGGCCACGGCCGCTCGTCACCGTAACAGACCTTCTTGGCCTTGGCTGCCAGGGCAGAAGATGGCAGAAGGTAAGCTCAACTCATGTTTCTTGCAGAGTACAACAAGGTAAATTACTCCAGTGATGTGCAGTGCCAGGCCACGCATCCACGAATCTCTTGCCTTCAAGCCGCGTCAGGAAGTAGATGAGGGGAATATAATGGAATGTAGGGCCTTGTAGGGTTCATGCTTGTGGCTTCGAGTTGCGCACAAAGTTGCGACACGTTGCGATTGCTTTCTCTGAAGTTGCATGGATCCGACGAACCTTGTCGCCCTTGTCCCACGAGATGAGTATTGGTGCAGGTTGTCAGTGTTATCAGTGCTAAAAGCTCCCTATGCAGAGCCTTGCTGCGTTGTCTATGAGTCGATGCCATGATGTCTCACTCTCCAAAGACACTGCCAGAGCCAGCTATTTATCCTGGGTACTAAGAACTGGTAGAATCGGTAGAATAGAACTGAGTAGATGAGACTCTGTGAATTCGATTGCTTCGTCCGTAAGTGCCCAAGACATCTGATTTTCGAATTCGAGCCGAGGACGACCGGATTTGCGTTACTCCGCCAGAAGACGGCGACGGCCCGAACTCAAAGCGAGCCGCGCTCTCTAGCGCCTTGAGCATGGGCGCGCCAGCCCCCGTTCTTGTGCCGAGCCATGCCTGATTTAAGGAACCTACGGCGGAATGGAACAAGGGAATAGACAGAGTGTGTCTTATGGGCGGTTTGCAAATCATCTCTTGACTGTCAGACCACACGTCCCGAACTCTTTCCGGTTCGGCGAGTAACAGCAGTGAGGAAATTGCCTACCGGATGATCACGACAATTTGTCGTGGTTTGTGTGCATCGCAGGCCGCGTTGAGAAGTGACTACCTTGCCAGTCCACTGTAGATACTCGAGATGCAGACCGTGAACACGTGTGCACGTTTACAAAGACTAGCTCTGGAGAGAATCTGAAAACCAGCTTGAATGCTTACAGCATCTTGAAATTTTACCTTTGACAGGAAGATAGGAAAATCGCTTTGTGCTTCAACCATCCCGAAACCGAATTGCCATCGCGAGGACGGAAGCAGGCATTCGGCACCATAGAGGTCCGACGATCACGATGCCATCCGCCAATCTGGATCCATCTCAGACTGTTGATCTGACTGCAGCGGCCTCAGTCATGGCACAATGCGGCCAACCAAGCTGGACAGTGTCAAATATTGCAGCTGACCAAGTAGAGGCAGAGCTTGCGCCGAAGCGCCTATGGGCAACAAAGATGGATGTCAACACCTGCAAGGCCTGCTGTCATGTCCAGCGGCTGTCATTTCACAGTTCGTCTTTAGTGAGTGATTCTTGCAAAGGCTGGTTGGACTCCCTTGTGCACAGCCGCATCGCAGGGCAAGGTCGAGTCTGTCAAGCAGCTATTGATGCTAGGCGATGGGCTCTTCAAAGACAGTCGCGGCGTGACCCCATCTTGCAGAAGACACAAGTGCTGACCCAGAAGGTGCAGATCCAAACATCCCAAATGGGTTCGGCCATTGCCTCAGATCTTCTGCCTAAAAGGTACAACTATTCGGCTCTTGGCGACTCATGTGCATGAGAAAAGCGCAGGAGCACATCCGGTTTTCTATGCTCTACGCAATTGGAGCCTGCGTATGTTTCGGCTGCTGGTGAAGCACGGAGCAGATGTACGACGTGCAAGGCAGCACTCGCAGGGCCCGGGAGTGCTTGCGAGTGCAGTGTTGTCATCTCCGCACTATCGTTGAGTTGTCGCTTTCGCCACCGTCGGTTTTATTCGAGCATGGATCTGCTCAGGAGCGAGCGGGGAGAGTCTTTACAGGCCGGAGTGCTGCGCATTTCGTTGTCCAGATATCGTCCAGATCCTTTGAAAGTGGAAGGCTTATGCCGAGAGAAAGGTGCAACAGGCGGCGGAGTCAAGAGCCTTCGGGGCTGCCCATTTTTCAGCTGCATCGTGCCAGGCCAGGACCCACTTAATAGACCTGATTGAAATTGGGGAGATCCCTAAACTACTCTCGTTCAGGAGCTCCTGGACAAAGTTGGTATCTCGACTAAGTGAGTTCGTTGTCCTGGACTAGCAACGACACGCATGGATGCTGGTCGACCAAATGATGATGAGTTTCGCTTTAAGGTGCGCAGAAGGCAGCCAAGTTGGCTCTCGATGCTGTCGCTGAAGCGAAAGGAGCTGCGAAACGTCGCAAGCTTCGCAGCAATGGGTTGGTACCTTGTTTCAACCAGTTGCCAGTGAGGCAATACAAGCAGTTCTGTGTGGCAGTTTGATCGGCCCTACTTTGTATATCGTTATACCATTCAAGTTCGTTTCTGGCGCAAGCCATTCGAATCATGTCGAAACGGCCCTTAGCATATCTGTTAGGCATCCACCTGCTTTGAAGAACCGGCACATGCTCACCCCATGTCAAGAATCTCAAACAGTGCTTTGTCAACAGAGTGTGCGCGTAAGGCAGTTTTGCAGAATCAGCCGCTGGCCCCCGCCCCACCTATACGTATACATATACATTAATTACATATACAGTATACATAGAGAGGGAAACAGGCAGACACAGAGTGTGTCAGAAGACAGACCCACGTTTCCTAGCAGAAGAACAGTTTTGTGTATAGATATTCTTAAGGGCGACCTGGTTAGACGTACCCAATGATGAAAGTCTGTGGCTTTTGGAAACCCAGTCACCCGTCGTAGAGTTCGGGCGGTGCAACCCATCCTCTCCTTTTGAAGCATTGTGTCGTCGACGGTCATCTACCATGGACTCTTAGGGTTTGAATGCTTTTTGGGAGGAAACACGCCTTTGTCAATTGAAGTCTTTTTTCCTCTCCATCCAAAATACACGAGGCACCGGTGTTTTTCCCAAAAACACACGTCATGCGAGGGGTGACGGGGAATCTAGAAATCGCAAGGCCCCAGTGATTGCATCTATTTGATGGCTTGCTCATCGTTGTGGCAAATACATGAGAGTGTATACAAACATACGCGATCATACGCACATGCGGTTGGTTGATAGATACCCAGTATACATATGGGTAGTTCTCAAAATTATGGTCCCTTTTTGGGCACCCTCAACATTAGGTGCCGTAAAATAATCAGGACCCAGAAAGGGACCCTAATATTGACAACCACCCGTATGCACATACATGTGTATACGCACACCTATAGATAGGGAGACAACTAGGTACATATGTGTAGGAATACATGCAGAAATATAAAGAATATATATATATAGGGGTATCTGTAAGTAAGTTTCCAAAGTTTCGGCTAGGTCAGTCTAGGATTAGGAGGTTTGTCTCGCGCTCGCAAGAACTGCTCATCCGTGGCCAGATTGGCGATCAGCCCTGATTTTCGATCGTCGGCGTAGGAGAGAGAGAGAGAGAGAGAGAGAGAGAGAGAGAGAGAGAGAGAGAGAGAGAGAGAGAGAGAGAGACGCGTTCGACTTAGCAATGTCGTTCCCTCCTCCTGCTGCTGTTCTCAGTGGGGCTCTATACGCCTGCAAGCTTAATCTGGCGGCTCCACCGGCCGCTTTGGGCGACTGGGGTCGCCAGGGTCGTGGAGGCGATGATCGATCGTCGGCACGGCGATCATCATGCAGCTCACAACCCGTTCGTGGCTCAGCGGCCGGAGTTTGTGGAGCAGGCGGTGGGTGAGCAAACCCGCCCTCCCGCAACTTTCTACTGCTCCTTGGCGGCAGTCGAGCGGCTGATCGGCCCGTTTTAGAAGAGGCTGGTGGACGAGATCATGTCCAATGATGCCAGCTCGATCAATGTTCTGACTGAGCGGGATCAGGTCATGCCGCCGAACTCCGGCTACCACTGTTCGCGAACTATACTTTGGATGGGATCAAGCTTGATCCACAATTCGTGCAATTTTCAATTTCCTGTGTATGCCTGTGTGATTAACATGATACTACACACATATAATATCATATATATTATACATATATATATATATATTCTTCTTCCTCCTCGTCATCGACTTCGTCGGATTCACGATGACGTGGAGCAGGACAGTCTTGGGAGGGTGGGGGCGGTTTTTGAACTGGTTCACTGTGGGATTGTGTACAATGGGGTTTGCCGGCCCAGGACATTGGTTGGTCGCGGTCGATGACGGGGCCACAGCCCAAGAGTGCCCGTGCGGAGCTTTGGGCTTTTTAGGTAGGGCTCAGGGGTTAAGGTTTCGGCTTGGGGCTTGGTTTAGGCTTGGGGCTCGGTTTAGAGTTCAGGGCTTAGGGTTTAGTCGCTCGCAAGAGCGTTTATGCGCACGAAAGTGCGTCCTGAACCCTAAGCCCTAAGTTCCTTAAACCCTAGTCGCTCGAAAGAGCGTGCGCACGAAAGTGCGTCTTAAAGAGTCTTAAAACCTTTCTGTATTATCCTGCCCAAACCCGAAACCCTACAACCCGTAACCCTAAGCCCTTCATCGTATGTTTCTCTGTCTAGGGTAGGCGCTCGAAAGAGCGAGTAGAGTTCGCGCTCGAAAGAGCGAGGAGAAGCGCTCGAAAGAGCGGAGAGAAGAAGCGCTCGAAAGAGCGAAGAAGCGCTCGAAAGAGCGGAGTGCTCGAAAGAGCAGAGCGCTCGAAAGAGCGGAGCGCTCGAAAGAGCGACGAGGAGAAGCGCTCGAAAGAGCGAGGCGATCGCAAGCATAGGCCCCGAACCCTTTAAAACGCTAAACCCTAAACCCCGAAACCGTAAACCATTACAAAGTAGGTCAGCTTCGCGGGGATCTAAGGCTTTCGGGCTATCAGGGTTGTCAGGTAGGGCTTTTGTAAGTTTACGGGCTGTAAGGAATTTAGTGTTGTAGGTTTGTAAGTAAGGGTTTAGGGCTTTAGGCCTTAGGGTTGTAGTAACTAGTAAATTGAGGACTATCAGGGGGGTAAGGAAGTAGGATGAAATGGGGCTTTTAAAAAGGGCTGTCAGGATTTAGGGTTCTAGGGTTTGAAGGATTGCTTTCAGGGTTGTAAGGATTTCGGGATCTAGGGTTGTGGGGCATAATTTGGGCGTTTGTCAGGTCAGTCGGAGCCTCGGGAGTTTCGGGTGCTTCAGGATTTTCGGAGTGATTCGGTGGTGGCGGTGGTGGTGGTGGTCGCGGTCGCTGTCTGGCTGTGCATGCATTGCCCCCAAACAGCCCCTCTGCTCAGGTTAACCTGAACCATTCCCACCTGCCCCCCTGAGCTTCCAAGCTTTGTGTTAGCTCACCCTCGCTGAGGCCCGATCATCCGCTTCGCCGGGTCATGCTGGAAGAGGTGCCATTGCACTGCATCCGTTGCACCTTCGCTGAAGACGTTCTTGGCTTGTTGGGTTGATTGTGATATCCGAGCTTACCCCTTTCGCCACCACGGCTCAATCAGCTTGGGACCACGAAACATGATTTCAGCATGCGTGTGGTCGCCGCGGCCGAAGCTTAGACGATTATTGCTTCTCAGGACTACCAATGGGTCAGGGCGAAGCCTCGAAGCTTGAAGAGATGGTTTGGCTAGGGTTTGATCACCCCTTTAACTTTCATCACCCTTGTTCCTGGTGCAATGCTGCGAGTCCAACCAAGCTATGTCAGTAACCTGACATGTGAGGGAAATCATAGGAAGGGGTTCCGCGTTCCTATACAATCCTCGGCACACTTAACTTATGTGTCATAGTCGTAATAATTTAAACAAATTAGTGTCATCCTCGCGCGCCTTTTCAGCCATGGCTTCAGATTCATCGGCTGTCGATTTTCGCATGGATGGCGTCTGTGTGGTTTATGGAATCGAGAGAAATTACGAGGGCTGCTTGGCTGCAGTGGCCAGTCTCAGTGAGATTGTCGCTTGAATCGTGTCTGCCCACTGATTGACCATTGAGGCAAGGCGGGTCGAGCCCTTTTCCCTGGACTGCTCAAGGACTACTACAAGCACTGGGTTCATGTCAATTATGACATCCGCGGAGTATGGCCAAGGAATCCATCAGAGCAATGGCAGGGAGGAGATGGACAGAGCGACCGGTCGAGGTCGCCTTCTCCGAGTCGTGGTCGGGGTGCCAAAGTTCAATTTACTTGGCACCTATTTGCTATCTGGTTCAAGTCTAACTTCAGTTAACTTAATGACCAGCCAGAATCATGTCCATCAGGTTCTGGCAGCGACAACCCTCTTGAGAACCATGAGTTTCTTGAGGAGCTTCTCGAGGTAGGCCACAGGGCATTGGTCGCGGTCGTGGCCATGGCTTTTGGAGCAGTGTCTGGGCACCCAAAGGGTGCGAAGTTTGTCTTCTGCATCACTTGCTTCTTGATTTCAATTCGCGGAGGGGTTCAGAGAGTACGTTTTGTCGTTCCACAGCTTTAGATTACAAACGTCGAAGCTGGATTCATGTGGCGGGATTTAGGCCTTTGTTCCCCGGTATCGTGATTCCAGTGGATAGCCTGCCCGCCCAGGTTCAGCCGGGCGACACAGATCGATGTGTGCTGGAATCCTGATCGCCTGGCTTTTCGCTGTGGAGCTCTGGGCGCCGTCGCACTACGGTCTTCAGTCCTATCCAAGGTCAATTTGGCTGCCAGATGAGATCATCCAGAAGCTCGAGGCCATCAAGGCAGAAGCCGTGGAGCGTATCATCTGGGGGCTGGGTTCGTGGTCGCCGTCGGCTTCTGGTTCGGGTGCCAGCGGTGCCAGCGGTGCCAGCGATGCCAGCCAAACTGCTCCGCAGCTGCCTCCGACGACTCTGCGGGAATGGACAACGCAGACAGAAACTTGGTCATTAAACTTAAGAATCCTATACCTCTGCCATGTATGAAAAGCTTATATAGCTTTAAATTTAGACCACCTTTCCTATTGTATTCGGTCAGACAGCCATAACTTTCTGTTAAACTTCGGGAATCGGAAGTTGGCACCTGCAACAAGCGCATCCGAGGCCAGATACAATCTCTACAAGGCCGCTCCGGAGGTGGCTGGCTTGCTGGCAGAGCTAGCTGTGGATGACATGGCCTGGAGGGTGCCTTGATAGCTATTCTGGGGTCGGTGTGAAAGGTTTTCTTAAGTCTGCGTTCTCGCTTGCATGGGGGCTGCTGGTGGTGAGCTGACTGAGGCCATGTCTGCGTTGGCCCAAAGCAACCATCAGATGGCCATGGAGTTCTTCAGCTATTGCTTGAATGGCCGCATCCCGGTTGCCATTGCAATTCTGCTTCTGGGTTCAGGATTAGCCAGGTAAAGGCTTCCAGGAAACACGCGCAGACCTGCTATAGCCAAGGGCCAGAGGACAACTACGGGATGAGAAATGCATCCGCAGCAGTGATGTACCATTGCCAGCAGCGGTTC